TTTGATGAAATAATTAAATAATTGATCGGCTATAGCCGCGGCTAGCCGGCTATGAGCGGCTAGCCGGTAATAACCGATCGATAACCGACCGTAACCGACCGAGTCCATCCCTAGGTGTTATATTTGGCGAGTAGGTGATTTATGATTGTAGGTATTATTATTGTTATATAATGAAAGCAGGTTATTATTATTAGGGTGAAATTTTTATTTAGATCACGAAGGATGAATCTCCTCTTCGTAGGGTTCGAAACCTTTATTATACTTTCTCTTACATAAGGCACGTCATACACTCTATTCGCGATATAGCACTTATATTCATTGTCCCGTATATACTTATTATAATGTCTATACTAATTATACTGATTATAATGTCTATACTAATTATACTGATTATAATATTTATGCTGATTATTATAGTTTTATATTATATCCCACTGATTCTCCTTATCGTTATTACACTGATAAACCCATTTTAGGTAGGTGATCGACATAGCCGTTAATTCGTTACTGCGCCACGTCGATCACCTGCATCAACGAGCTTCCGGCGCTACCATCCTATCGCTCACAGAATGTTAATTTTCTGGCCCAAATATATACTAAACTCTCATAAATGCTAATAATCACACGCAAATATTTCATTCATCAACATGGCTCGGTATTTCCAAAGTCTTAGAGAATTTAAACTTCGCTAAGAGCTTTGACCTGCGCCAGGAGTTTCGCATTTCGCCGGGTTTAGGTTACGTCTTTTGCCATTAGCCCAAAATGGTTTCGCTTAAAGACACTAGGCTTTCATTTAGGAAACAATAATAAACAAATGCATTTATGGGGGTTTAGTATATATTTGGGCCAGAAAATTAATATGCATTTAAGGAGGCCATGCATTTAGAGGGGATGCATTTATAGGGGCAGACTCTATATAATGAGGATTCGACCCCTGTGTCACATAGCACAGTTAGAGATGCTTGCTGCAAAGTCGCAACTTAAAATTTATAGCTTATTTGTGTTATAATTATTACAAAAAAGTCATAATTTATTATTTTAAGATGGTTACATCTATTGCGACAATAAGTTGCAACCCATAAAAAAGTTGCAATTCATATTTGCAGCAAGCAACACTAAGCACAGTACCAAAAGAATATAAAAGGTCACAAATTTTAATGTCAAATCTTTTTTTTTCACGGTTTTTTTTACTACTCTTACCATGATGTTGATTCCCTACTTGATTGCATTACTATTGATTCATTCGATTGTGGCCGAGGTCACTATCACACCTGTACCTTCTACAGGCTTGCCTTCTAATCAATACATTGTCGAAAATCAACTGCCTCTTTCTGAACAAACACACGAAGTGGTCAAAGTGAAAGATATCGTCCTTGTTTCGCAATTGGCGAATAGTGTCTTGGTGAAAGTTCAGGTCGATAAATATGGAGTCGCTCAACAGGTGGCAGGCTTCCAAATTGCAACTCCCAACTCTAGTTTGCATGGTTTGGCCCTCTCCACCAAGTA